CATAACGCATAAACCATATACATAAAGAATTTGATTGGTCCATTGACTCATGCATAAGAAAATGGGCCAATGAAATTCCTTATGCACATGCTTTATGCGTTATGCAAAAGTCTGTGCTCCCCGCTTTATTAGAGGGTCACTATATATACTGTGTCGATGCCATGCCTGACAACCGCCAAGAACTATTCCCGTAGAACATCAATGGCCTAGTTACAATCAGTTGGTTGCCTGGCCAATAAAAGCAAGAAGAAGAAGAAGATGCCTAAAGATTGCATAAACGCGTTATACATGTGCTGTATCAATCAACGTTAATCATGAAGAACAATGCGAAGAAAATGAAAGATAAAAATCGGACTGACGAAAGTAACATTGGAAATAAGGACCGGAAAAAAACGTTTGACAAAAAAAAGTACAGATTACAGAAGTATAGCAACAAGTACAAAAGTATGTATACAATATGCCGTGAATAGGTTAAGTTTATTGTTTTTCAATATTTGCTTTCTTGTACTAGTTAATCGATGGGAGGAGAAGAGGAAGGAGTTTGTGTTACGCGAATATTATAAAGAGTTGAAGAAGGATCAGCAGAATTCCATAGGAACGTCGTCAAATTTAAGTAACACATCCAAAAATGAGACTAAGTATGTAAAGTGGAACCTATTCGAGAAACTACAATTTGAAATGTAATAGTATTAATAATAATAATTTATTTATTAATAAATATTCAATTTATTTGTATATGTAAACAGTAAATCGAGGAAGGGCTATGCTTTTTTCAAAGCTAAGCAGCAGTATCGGCAGAAACAGGAAGAAAAGAAGAACATGTTAGGAAACACTATTCGTATAAGGATAGAACGAGAAGAAGCCTTGAAAAAATATAAGGAGAAGAAATTACAAAACTTCAAAGTATTATCAAAGAAGACAAAGAGAGGACAGCCTGTCATGAAGGGCAGAATAGAAATGGTTCTGGAAAAAATACAGCAAATGACTTAACGTACAATCGTCTCTTTATCTTTGGTTTGACTAATTCAAGATACGGTCAAAGTCTCGCTATAAATTCTTTGAAGTTTCTCATTGACCAATCAAAAGAAAGCATTTTAATTTGATTGATCAGAATCGCAAAGAATATTTCAAAGTATTTGTAGCATCACATTGATTGTACTCCTAAATCACATTGTCGCACAATGGAGTTAATATTTATTATTTAGAGAAAAAATAAAATGCTTTTAAATGTTTGTGAAAAGGCTCAATATGTTTTTAAACAACTAATATAGAGAAACAGGGCAATGAGCCAATAAAATTGTTAAGATCTTTTTAAATTAATCTAATATATTGTGAAGAATATCACGTAATTATGGCGTTTCATCCCAGCTTCCACTACTGGATTCATCAAATAAGGTATTGTAGTGGAAGCCTACCTTAGACGCCTGGGAAAATTATTCAATCGAGATTCTATATAAAGAGATATACGCATGTCAAAGCACTTGCGAGATGCTTTTATTTTTGTGTATGATGTATATTGTATATGTTACACAATGGGTGCGTTCCACTTAACGTTCGCAACGCTCGCGAGTATCATTTTGTCCTTGTAATCGAATATTAAATAAGGAAGAGATGATACACGCGATCGTTGCGAACGTTAAGTGGAACGCACCTAATGTATAACAATATGTGTAACATATTCCAATAACGACACGTATTCTTCAAATTTCATTAAGTTTTTGTTACATGAGAGTGTCCATATTTGCGGTATTATTTTTTATATAACTGTATCATTTGCGAACTGGAATGATAATTTCGTGTGTAGTCACTCATTAAATTATATTGGAATAAATAGTAAGAATTGAAGTAAAATATATATATATATATATAAAAGGAATTATTAAATTATTTAATTCCTTTCTTTAATTCTCTCAAAATAACATTATTTACTGATCGACATAATATAATTTTATCAAAAAAACAAGTTAAAATTCCGAATTAAATATACCTGAAGTGAAAAAACATCCACTTAATTCTCATAAACATAATTCCTCCGTCTGTAGTAACGAATAAATTTACAAACGTAGATAATGGCTAGGAAAAGATAATAGATATGTTATATTCATAATCGATTTTTATTTTAATATCATTTTAACTAATATCTTAAGTTTCTAAGACGGCTTTGTGATTGGTATTTATAATCGATTCTTATAGACCTTTTACAATAAGTTATTGCTTAAGTTTTAATAAGTCATGACAAATTAACCAATCACAGTGAAATATGAGAAGAATAGTCGATAATTGATCAATTTTTTATGACTTACAATTTAAAGACTGAATGTCTTAATAAGAATACCTTAAGTCCAGTCTTAAGATCTCATAATCAACTGTAGTAGCATCTTAAGACGCATCTTCTATTTTAAATAGAAGAATCAACTATGAATGAAAATCGGTCTATACGATTTTGATGAAATCAATCGATTATGCCTATCGATGCACGAAGCGGCGACTCTTCGCGTTCGATCGCGGTAACCTTTTGCATTGAATATTGAATCTCGACGGATGGAGACGTGCGAATAACCGTGGGCTTGAACCGGCGCGGCGGCGGCATACCCTTTCGCGACGATCAATCGCGGGTGACGGTGAGCGGCGCGGCGCGGCGCGGCGCGGCGGTTCGAAATACAAAATTCCACGCGCCAGCGTGGATCGCGCGTGCGCGTTGGCATTTTGACGGGCGGCCGTCGTCGCTGCTCGTCGGGACGACACGGGCTAGTCGACGGTTGCAAATGGCGACAGCCACGGAGTCTCTGGTACGGGCTCGCGACTAGTTCCACGCCTACCGTGCGCCCCGCGAGCGAGCCGTGCGCCGAACGCAGCCCCAGCGCCCAAAGATCGGTACGTAGCCTAAATCCCCCCCCCCCCCCCCCCCGCGGCAAGATGGTCCGGCAGACCGTCCGCGCGCACGACAGCTCTCGCTCTCGTCGAGGAGCACCATCCTCTTAGGTATCGTCTCTCTTCTCTCTCCGAGACACAGTTCTCCCTTTCCTCGATCGATACGTCTCGTACGATCGTCGGCCTTCCCGGATCCCGTCTCTCCTGCCGATTCCGATCGTCGCGTACGTGTCCTCTTCCCTCCCCCCCCCTCCTCTCCTCGTCCCCTCGCTAGCCGGGACGGATCTCCGGGTGCCGCATCGCGCTGTCAAGAATCACCGTGTCGGAACTCGCGGTGCAGATCGCACCGCCGGTTCCGATCAACTCGACTAATTCAATCGCGCTTTTTCCGACACGGCTGAATTTTTTACTCCGGAGCACACTCCGGAGCTCCGCTCGACGCCACGTACATAGGACACTGTTTCCCCGATCCGATTAGCTAGCACACTCAAGGAGAGAGAGAGAGAGAGAGAGAGAGAGAGAGAGGGGGAGAGAGTGAGAGAGAGAAAGAAAGAGAAATTAGTTTTGCGATTGTAAAAGACGGCACGTATAGGAACGCGCGCGGCGATATAGGAGCGATCGCGAACGTCCCGCCGCCGTTGCGTCACGTCGTTTTTAGTGAGCGAAACAAATACCAATTACAGTATATCTGCGTCGGAGCGCAATCTCTGAGCGTCTCAGATTGGAGGGGAATGAACGTCCCGAGTGTCCTCACGAAGCTCTCGCTCTCATTCACAGGTAGTCTTGAGCAGAACGAAGCAAGATGCCGGCCGTCAGAGGAGATGGTATGCGTGGATTGGCGGTATTCATATCGGACATCAGGAATTGTGAGTAACAGCGTTTTCCCATCGATAACATTGACACTTCATATACTTTAATTACTGGATTATATAATGCGATTGTCGGCATTGTAAACCGCAGGTCCCAATTGTTGTAATTGTTGCTGTTCTTCCTTCAAATACCACTGGTTATGTATTTGATGCTATTAATGACATTTCAGTCCCCAAGCGATAACGTGCCATTGAAACTGAAATTGTGTGCGACGTGTTTAACATTGTGAGAAGCAGGAGAAAGGGGGCGGTGTTCTGATATAGGCCTATCTTCTTGTGATATAGCTTGACTCTCAATATCAATCTACGACACATTAGTTAAACGTTTATTAAAAATAAACACTGGTCTTCTTAAGATATTTATAGAAGGCGCAATTGTATATAGTTTTACGTATTATATTTATGCATATTATTTATTTATAACTGTCTGTGCATTTCTGAGCTAAAAGAATTGTTCTTGATAAGCCAATTGTCATTATTTTTTATATCAAGTATTTCTGCCGACGTATTATTTCTGATCGATATTTATAATAAAAATTCTTGAATATTTTTAGCCAAAATATAAATAAAGATATTATGTACAACAGAACATTTTTATTTTGATATATATTCTATTTTTTTTTGTCACAAACGTAGCTTATTGTATTACATAATAAGATACGTTTGTGTTAGTTATAGTTTTGTGTAATTGTTCTATGTAAATGATGATACATACACACTTGCGCAGTCTTTTTTTTTGTAAACGTTATGTATTAATGTTACTAGGCAAAAGTAAAGAGGCAGAAATTAAGAGAATTAACAAAGAACTAGCAAACATACGTAGCAAGTTTAAAGGAGATAAAACACTCGATGGGTATCAGAAAAAGAAATATGTTTGCAAGCTGTTATTCATTTTCCTGCTTGGCCATGATATCGACTTTGGACATATGGAAGCTGTCAATCTACTTTCATCAAATAAATATTCAGAGAAACAAATTGTAAGTAAGACAATCGGTCTAGCAATCTGCAGTATGTACAATAATCTAGCGGATATTATTATCTAACTCGTATAATTCTAGGGATATCTTTTCATATCGGTCCTAGTGAACACTAATAGTGATCTGATTAAGTTAATCATACAAAGTATAAAAAATGATCTCGCCTCACGCAATCCAATTCATGTTAATTTGGCGCTGCAATGCATCGCCAATATCGGTAGTAAGGAAATGGCAGAAGCCTTCGGCAATGAAATTCCAAAGTTGCTTGTTTCAGGGTACGATATATTGTATTTATTGCTTTATATAGTCATGCCAATAGCTTATATCAGATTTTTGTTCAGTCTTTAAATATTTGTTTTATAGAGATACTATGGATGTTGTGAAACAAAGTGCTGCGTTGTGTCTACTGCGACTATTGCGGACAGCTCCTGATGTCGTACCTGGTGGTGAATGGACGTCACGTATAGTTCATCTGTTGAACGATCAACATCTAGGCGTTGTAACCGCCGCAGCGTCACTCATAGACGCTCTTGTAAAAAGAAATCCCGATGAATATAAAGGCTGCGTTAGTCTTGCAGTTTCGAGATTAAGTAGGGTACGTTACTGAAGTAAAATTTATCGATGACAATAAGAATGTTATCTAACATTTTTTTCTGTGATTGTAGATTGTTACATCGAGTTATACAGATTTGCAAGATTATACGTATTACTTTGTACCAGCCCCATGGTTATCTGTCAAGTTGCTACGTCTGCTGCAGAACTATACTCCACCAGGTATTTAATTCCACAATGCGAAATACATTGTATATAGAAATACAATACGTTGTATGACATTTACATAGAATTTATATTTCTACAGCCGAAGATCCAGGTGTGAGAGGCAGATTAAATGAATGTCTAGAAACAATATTAAACAAAGCTCAAGAACCACCCAAGTCAAAGAAGGTCCAGCACTCAAACGCGAAGAATGCTGTACTCTTTGAAGCCATTAGTTTAATTATTCACAACGATAGCGAGCCGAATCTCCTTGTACGGGCATGCAACCAGCTTGGTCAATTTTTGTCGAATCGTGAGACCAATTTGCGATACCTGGCACTCGAATCAATGTGCCACTTGGCTACTTCGGAATTCTCGCACGAAGCTGTAAAAAAACATCAAGAAGTAGTCATATTATCAATGAAGATGGAGAAGGACGTTTCTGTAAGACAACAAGCGGTAGACCTATTATATGCCATGTGTGATAAAAGTAACGCTGAGGAGATTGTTCAGGAAATGCTAAATTATTTAGAAACAGCTGATTACTCGATTAGAGAAGAAATGGTCCTTAAAGTAGCGATTCTAGCGGAAAAGTATGCGACCGATTATACTTGGTACGTTGATGTTATCC